TTGGAAAGGAATCGTATTTCGTATGCCCTTTATGTTGTTTGGCAATTTACGTGGGTCATTGATGGCGTCAAGTTTTCGACTTGCTAGGTCTCAAATTTTGGTGATTGCCACGACCTTTTGTCATGGTAACGTACTTGTTTGTTTGAGTGATGCAATCACTTTCTCATTAGGGCGGGTTTGGCATAGTTGAATTGAAAGGGGAATAACATGAGTGTGGATAGCCCTTGTTACTTGATAGTTTTGGTTTTGTTTAATGAATTTTGTTTATTTTTCTGTTTGGTTGATGGTAGTTGACCTTTTATGTATGTCAGGTTAAAAACATTATAATAGGGCGTTGTTATGGATCATGACCCCCATCTGATTGTGTTTCTCTTCTGTTCTTTGACAAATCTTAAATTGGGCTTATGATATTTTCTTAAATTTGTAGCATTCAAAATGGTGAGAGTTAGTGTCTTGAATGATGCTCTTAAGAGCATGTACAATGCTGAGAAACGAGGGAAGCGCCAGGTCATGATTAGGCCATCTTCCAAAGTCATCATTAAGTTTCTTTTGGTGATGCAAAAGCATGGTATGTGTTGATGCTGTTGTATCAAGTGATGGGCTATATATTCTCATTATGTCCTTGTTCCTAAGTGTTCGGTTCGCTCTTTACAGGTTATATTGGAGAGTTTGAGTATGTTGATGATCACAGAGCTGGCAAAATTGTGGTTGAACTGAATGGAAGGCTTAACAAGTGTGGGGTTATTAGTCCCCGTTTTGATGTAGGTGTCAAGGAGATTGAGGGTTGGACTGCCAGGTTGCTCCCATCAAGACAGGTCTGTGCTGATCAATTATATAATACTCTTTGATTGTTATGTATTTCCTTTCCCAGTAGATGTGCATATTTTTGAAATGTGATTGTCTTTCCAAATCCTGCCATATCATGTACATCTTGTGCATTAACACATAGGTTCTGTTATTATGGTTTGATTACTGACATGACTGTTAATGTGCCATAAACGTGCAGTTTGGATATATTGTGCTGACAACATCAGCAGGCATCATGGATCATGAAGAGGCTAGGAGGAAGAATGTTGGTGGAAAAGTGCTTGGTTTCTTCTACTAGATGGGGGAGTTGATTGAGTTTTCACACAGAATTTACAGTTGATGAAGAGTTTTGCACTGTACTTTGAGCCTTTGATACCAATTTCCTGTAGGATCTGTTCAAGTTAATGCTTTAAATTTTTTTTTTTTCTTTTTGGGGCTCTGAATGCAAGTAGTAGTTGTCCCTTTATTATCATTTCTCATATCAATTAAAGACCGGAATTCATGTTGGTTATTGCTGCATTAAGCTATCATTGTGTATGTTTCATATAATCATATAATTAGATACTCACCGGGCGGCTGTGTTTCGAATGAAATCTCTTTTAAAAGATTGGAAATTCAATGGGTTTTCCTCGGCCATTATGCACAAAACTTATCCCAAGCAAGCATTTAGAGGTCTATCCTTCTGTTCAAATTATGTGCGAATTTTCCCTCTTTTTTTAATGTTTTTTAAAATTCTGGGATCACTCGAATTTTCCTCTACCAATGCTAAAATTGAAAATTCCATGGGCATCTGCCGAACCAATCAAATATTGCATAGATTTTTTGTTTCTCTCGTCTGGATTTTGGTTCTTTCCAATTAATTATGAAACCAAATAATTTTTGATGTACAATTAGCGGTGTTTATATGGTCTCTCGTCCTTGTACAGTGTCTCTGAAAAATTTTGGGTCCCCTTTTCCCATTCTTTCCGTTTTTTCCCTCGACGTCTTGAAAACAAATCAGAAACATTCATCGTTGAAAATTGGTATTTGCAAATTGTAGTGGAGATATGGTTCACCTTCCATTACAATAAATATCCTGCCTCTGGTTCCTTTTAGTAGTTGCTTTGATCTTTACACGTAACTTTTGATGATAATTTTATAACATATGAATGAAACTACTCAATAAGAATAATTTATAATTTTTACATGTAGAGCTTTAACGAAAATGGATTAGAGAAAGTAATAATGATTATATACATCTTTCCTTCTCATATCAAATGTGTAGATCTAGGTAAATGAAAAAAAGGGGGTGGGGGGTGGAATTCTTGCATGATAATCGTATTAATGAAGAAAAGGAATTCAAAAAATTGATGAAAAAAAAGAACCAAAAGATGAACCCTGGCAATAATGTTATAAATATATCAACTATTTAAGATTAAACCAGAAGATAGAGATACACGGGGTGTATCATAAATGTTTGAAGCCATTATTACCAGCATACATAAGATACAATGCCAAAGGTTTAAAGTTGCCCTGATGGTGCATTCACCATCATGACCTAACCTTCTTGAAGAAGAATCTCTCCATTTCTCTTCATCCCTTCTGCTGCCTCCAATGAACTCAATCTTATCATAATTCATAGCTAAAACTGATGAGTGCCGGAATCCATTGGAGAGAGGGTAGAAGATGCAGTTGAGCTGAGAGAGGCAATGGAAGAGAAATTCCAAGAGGGGTATCTTGAGGAGAGCAGGGGTTTGCTTTTTAATGGATAGAGATGGGTTTGGGGGGGTAGAGGATCTTCTCAGCATATGCTAAAAGCATAAACTTTTTTTTATCTCTTGGTTGCTTTGCTTAGGTTTCCTTGCACTTTTTTCGTGTCCTTGTAATAATGCAAAAGGGACATTTGATGAAGGTGGAATCTGCCTTGGGATTTTTATCATTTTATGGCTCTAGTGGTCTTTTTCTTCTTGCCTTTTGAGTTCCTCACCATCAGTATTTGACCTGTACAACTTGTCATTGTTCGCACAATAGGTTAACAGTAAAACACAACATTGATTCAAAAATGATCCATTCAGCTTATTCATATATGAAAAAATTTTGGATAAAAAATGATTCTGCTATATTGTTTTCTTACACTTTCTAAAAAAAATTTTACCGCATAACGTGTATTTTGCATGATTTAAATTATCGTGTAATTTTTTGAAACTCAATTGTGATTAGTGTGAAAAAAAAAAAGCATTATTAAAACAAAAATAATTAAATTATAATATTATATTTAAATTTATAATTAAAACACAACTGTTATGTAATCAAATCTTTTAATTTATTTTTATTTTCTTGAGAATTCACCGTGATATTATATTGTATAATGTTAATGATAAACAGAAAAGAAATACGGTAAAAGTCACGTCTGTCCGCATCACGTTGCAGGGACAAACCCACCACATCGTACGGTACAAAATTATTATCATTCTGTGAGGTTAAAATCCACTTTTCAATACTTTATTTTAATAAATTTATGATTTTTTTTTTATTTTACTTTTAATCCAATTACATAAGTTCACCGTATAAATACATTTTTTTTTAAATAACAGTTAAATTCGATTTTTTGTGAATTTATTCAAAAAATAATAATAATATTTTTAATTTATTATTTATATAAATTAAAAAAATAACTTATATTTAATGTAAAATTATAAAGTTCATAATTGATTATTAACATTTTATTAACTCTATCGCCACCAATACCACCTAAATTAATTTATGTCCACTAAACATACCACCGTAACTTTTAAGGATGGGAAATTTCCTACTTATATAATAAAAAAAAATTGGAAAGCTTCCTCGAGAAATCTGCTGCGTCTTTTTTTTGGAATTCTAACATTTTTTAGGTCTTTACTTTTAAAAGCTGGTGCATATATTCATTGTATATATTTTTTATATATTATTAAATAAATAAATATGATTAATATTATAAATTTTAAATAAATAAAATACATAATATAATAAAAAAATTTGGGCCTTTATTTTGAAAAATTATCTTATATATCCATTATATATAATTTTTACATATTATTAAATAAATACAACTAATATCATAGATTTCAAATAAATAAAAATAATAAATAAAATACATAATATAATAAAAAATAATTTGGGCCTTTATTTTGAAAAATTATCTTATATATCCATTATATATAATTTTTACATATTATTAAATAAATAAATACAATTAATATCATGTCTCAAATAAATAAATAAATAAATAAAATATATAATATGATAAAAAAATAATAAAAATGCAGCAGGCTTTAAAAATTAAGGTTCGAACCATTTTTTTATCTATTTAAAAAATTGTATACATATATCCATTTTATCTATTTATTTCCCAAAAAAATGTTAAAATTCTCAAAAAATGCAGTAGGGTAGGATTCTCAGGGAAGCTTTACCTTCTTTTTTTTTTTTTAATTAAGTATTTTATTTATTCTTTTTATTTATTTAAAATTTATGATATTAATTATTTTTATTTATTTAATAATATGAAAAAATTATATACAATATATATGTAGTAGTCTTTAAAAAAAAAATCCAAAAAAATGTTAGAACTTCCAAAAAAATGCTATAGGTTTGTCGAGGAAGCTTTCCCATTTTTTTATTATAAAGGTAGGAAACTTCCTGCTTAAAAACTAGAGTGGAATGTCTAATTGTCATAAATTAAGTTAAGTGACGATGGCAATTAACAAAATTGATAAAATGTTAATACTCAATCGATGAATATTATAGTTTCATGTTAAGTAAAAGAATTAGTTTTTTCAATTCATATAAATAAAAAATTAAAAATATTATAATATAAGATGAAAAATTTAAATTTATAAATTTATTAAAATAAAATAAAAGTAAGATTTTACCTTCCGTGGATTACATGTCATCTCAATGGTTTAGAGCTAGTGAAAATGGTTCATATATATTGGGAATCACATTTTTTTATTTCATCATTCAATTGAAAATCTATTAATCATAGAGTTCATTGATTGAGCGAAAACAACAACATGCGATGAAAATGCTTCAGAATGAA